TTTAAAAAAAAAAAAAAAAAGAGAGAGACAGGGCCCTCACCTTCAGGAACTTCCATTTCGGTGAATTTGACCTCTGTGTTTAGTTAATGAGGTCAGACATGGAGGAGCGGGACACAACGTGGCTTTTTCCACACCCCAGAACTCCAATTATTTGCACTATATGAATTATTATAACTACTCAGTTAAGAGAGGTTGTTTTTTAATCACGATGAAAATTACATCTTTTGCTGCCACGGCTCCCTGCGGCTGCTCTGAGCCAGTCCCTGGCCTCTGGACTCCCTCCCTCCCAGAGTGGCCAAGGTGCCCCATGCAGCCTGGGGAGAGAGTTGGGTCCAAATGAGCACTGTTGGGGCATCTCACCCATATTTCATTGCAGGAGAACCTGCGGCAGTACGTTGACCGCATCTTTAATGTCATCACCAAGTCGGGGGTGAGCTGCCCTACTGTCATGTGTGACATTTTCTTTTCCCTCCGAGAGGCAGCTGCCAAGCGCTTCCAGGGTGAGTCCTCTGTGGATATTCTCATGCCAGCAGAAAATATCTATAGCCCCTCACTGGGTGGTTCCCTTCCTCTGCGCCGGACACCTCAGAGCAAAGAAGGGGCTTTTCAGAGCCCTGTAAAGACAGTTCTGACTTGGCCGCTGGGCCAGGGCTCAGATGTCAGCGCACAGTGCCCATTCAGCATCCTCTCCAGCTGTGTCTGCTGGGCAGTGCTCCCTCATCCCCATCTGCATTCGTCCCTGGGTGGCTAGGGCTCCAGCCCCAGACAGAAGGCAGTGGGCCGAGTTCCCTCGCAGTGGTTTATTTGGGACAGAAAGTTCACTCCTCTGGGTCTCAGCTTTTGCACTCAGAGAAGCCACCTTTCCTGGTCCTCCAGCAGTTTCTTGCTACAGTCTGCTTGGTGCCACTTGGTGCTCAGTCATCTAACTCTGCCTGGCTGCATTTTCAAGAAAGACAGGATGAGTCCTTTGGGGAACTGGGACTAGAAGAGTCCCAGGGATGAGCCCCCTCTTTTTAATTATGCTGATTCCTTGGGCAGGTACCCAGAGCTACCATGGCAGACCTTCCCATGGGGAAAGTGAAGGCATCCAGTCCTGGCTGGAAGTATCAGGTTAACTGAGGACCTGGAAGCAGGGCACTCACCAGCTCAGACCAGGTCTTAGAAGGCTGAGGGAGGGGTACTTGGTGCCTGGCCCCTGCTTGGTCCAGCAGGCACCATCCCACTTCATCCATCCCTGGGAACCCATGAATCAGCCCAGGTGTGACCTGCTGCCTTGGGGAACTGCTGAAACCTCAGCATCCAAGCCCTCAGAGCAGTCCCTGTGGCCCAGACAGAAGGCCCCAAAGTGAGCCCTGGCCCCTTCCCTCCTCCTGCTGGGGCAGCTCAGCCTCCAGCAGCAGAGCCTGGGCTAAGACTTCCTGCTTTCAGAGAGCTTGGGCTCCTTTTAGGACCAAAAAGCATCTAGTATCTGGGACAAGCAGTTACCAAGCACACCAAGCCTCTGATCCTCTTTGGAATAAGATGGAAATAAATAACTAATGAACAAACCATATCCTCCCACCCCAGATGTGAGTAAACCACCTAATAATGAGCTATCTCCCTGTAAGGCCACTAGGGCCTGATGAGCAGGTTGTGTCTGTTACAGCTCAACTGCCAGATGGTGTTGAGCTTTTAGTAACAGTGAGGGGGAAAGAGAGAGGGACAAAGAGAGAGGGACAGAGAGAGGGAGAGAGGTGGAGAGAGATAGAGAGAGATGTAGAGAGACTTAGAGAGACAGTGGGGTCCAGGAGAGAGCTGCAGGCCAGCACCTTGCCTCTAGGAGACCCTCAGAAGGAGCAGACTCTGGGTTGTAGCCCCCTTGCCCAGGTCCACTGCTGTCATCTGCAGAAAGCCCCACTGAGTTGGCTGTCTCTGTGTCTCGGCTACAGATGACCTGGATGTGAGGTACACAGCAGTGAGCAGCTTCATTTTCCTGAGGTTCTTCGCTCCTGCCATCCTGTCCCCTAACCTCTTCCAGCTCACGCCTCACCACACAGTAAGTGAGCATCAGCCTTGTAAACTGGGAAACCAGCCCTCCTGCACCAGCAGGTGATGTTGGGCTCAGGTTTGTAAACTGGGCCACCAGCCCTCCTGCATCAGCCGGTCCTCAGCATCAGCAAGTGATGTTGGGCTCAGGCCAGGCTCTCCTCCCCAGGTGTAGGGGGTGGGAGGACAACATTCCACGGTAATGGGGTTGTGAAAATGCCACATGCCCTTAACTTCTTTGTCTACTAGGAATTTTATCGACTTTCCTAAGTTGTGTCCTTTAAAACGTGGTTGGTGTGACCAGGTTGTAACTGCTGTCTGCTATTATGTTCTCCCTCCCGCCATGGGAAAAATTGAGCATTTGTCATCTTGTGTATATTTAGTCATTTATTCAATCAATCAACAAATATGTATTGAGCACCCACATGCTCCAGGCGCTGAGCTTTCACTGGGCTGACGGTAGTGATGCATCAGCAGAGAAAGTGCCAGGTGCGGGCAGTGCTTGGCGGAAAGCCCAGGGTGAGGGGGTTTGAGGGTGATGGGCTCATTCCTGGTTTTTTTGGTTTTAAATTAAACTTCCAAATCATATGAAGGTGAGGGAGACGCAGAACTGGGGACAGTCACTGGACAAGGATGCCGCTAAGTTCAAGATGCTCCTTTTGCCTGTCAGATCTGGAGCGCTGACATCCAGCAGTTCTTTTCACGTGTTGCCATTTGGGGAGCCAGCCAGAGCTTTGTGGAAATGCCAGGGTCTGGGTCTGGGGTGGCCTGGATTTTTAGTGATTCCCAGACCACACAGAGTAGAAGGGTCTGGGTGAACTATTCCGAATCCAGGGTTCGTGTGTTTACTGTTCACTCACAGACAGCATGAGCGTGCCATGTAGCTTATAAGTGATGTTTTCATTTTGTTGGCTGTGTAATTCTGGGCTCAGTCACAACATTCCTGTAAAACTGAAACGAAACTCACCTTTCTCTTTTGCGCCTGACAGGACCCACAGACGTCTAGGACGCTGACACTTATCTCAAAGACAATTCAAACTCTTGGCAGCTTATCCAAGTCAAAGTCTGTAAGTCACTTTTTTTTTTTTTTAAACACAAAGGAATGTGTGTTTAATGCAGTTATTAGGATAAAGAGCAACAGAACCAGCCAGGCATCCCCACCAACCAACCTTGGCCTTTAATATCTGAGGACGTTTATGTCTTAGGCAGGCTCGGTCGCTGCCTGATGACCAGGGGCCTGTCCATGCGGAGCAGGCAGCACGCCTCTTTCTGTCCCTGGGCTCCATGCTCAGTGTATACCTTTTGGTGACAAACCTGTGTCTCCCCTTTATTGTCGCTCACTTCAGACTGGATTTTGGTGCCCAGGGCTCCCCAAGGGACTACTCCAGGCTCCATGGCTCCTAGGACCCACCTCATGACAAGCAGTTTGGGGATGTGGGGAGCTAACTTGTGTAGATAGTGATGTGGAGAGCAGGCGGTGTGCTAACTGGGCTGGAGCCAGAGGCTGGTTCCGACCATGGACTGGCTGAGCCAGCTGGAGTCGCCACCTCTTCTGTCTGGAGAGGGTTAAGCAGCAACCCACAGTCCTCCCAGCCCCCCTCATTGTGCTCTTTGTGGGGCCACGAGTGAACCAGGTCCTAGCACTGCAGACAAGCATCCCCCCTTTGGGGCCAGTGCTGGGCTTTCTCTGAGTCAGAGTGAGGTAAAATGTATGCGGTGACTGACGGGCAGCCTGACGTGCACTGATCGCTTTCTTTTATCCATCAATCCCAGCTTCTATTGACTGGAAATTCAGATAAACAGGCACCTGCCGAGTCAGGGTTCTGCACAAAACCCACCTCATTTTCACATCCAGAAATAGCAAAGTGACCTAAATATAAAAACAATGCTGAGTGGGATGGGACATTGGGAATGGTTGTTTGAAGGCCCTTCCTGAGTTCCTATGCTTTGCCACGAGTCCTGTCCATACCCCACAGCCCAGGGACCACGTCTGGGTTCAGTGTAAACATCATGGACCCAGAACCCAGATGTTAGTGACCACATGTGGAAGGGTTTGAGCCATTTGTAACAAAGAACTCACCGAGGACCCCCCACCCCATAGTTAACTTTTAAAAACACCACTTAGCAGAATTCATCGCCTGTGAATGTTTTCGCATGCTTCTGGGATTTCAGGTCTGATTTAAGCACCTGGGCTGAACTTCTGGGGCAGCACTTGTCTCCCCAGGGATCCTAGCACCTTCCCTTGGTTTAGTTGCTGTAACTGAGGCTCACTATAGCCATGCCTCTAGAGTTTCCAGGGTTGGGTCATGAGCCAGGAGACCTGTAGGCCTTCGTTAAGTGACCTGCTTCATTCTAGGCCAGCTTTAAGGAATCCTACATGGCTGCATTTTACGAATTCTTCAATGAGCAGAAATATGCTGATGCTGTAAAAAATGTGAGTACCAACATCAATGAACATAGACTACCCCCCACCCTAATATGTTGTTTCTAAGAAACAGAGTTGTTTTTGTTTTGTTTTTATTCTCACTTGAGTATATTTTTCCCATTGCTTTTCCCAGAGAGAGAGAGAGAGAGAGAGAGAGAGAGAAACATCGATGTGAGAGAGATACATCGATTGGTTGCCTCCCGCATGCTCCCTGACCACATGTGCCCTGACTGGGGCTGGGGAGAGGTACGTGCTCTTGGCTGGAATCAAACCCGGGACCCTTCAGTCCATGGGTCAGCTCTCTAACCACTGAGCAAAACTGGATGCTTTGTGTCCAGAGTTGCTTTTAAAAAAAAGGAGTTTAAATTTGAATAACATAAAATCTGCCATTTGCCATATGAAATAGTTTAGACAGTCTGGTCCATTCTCAGCATCGTGTGACCACCTCGCCCCACTGGGTGCTCTCTTCACTCCAGGGCTGCTATAAATGTCTCCTATGCCATTCTTATTTGGAATCTGATATTTGGAGGCCATCATTATTTTTATGTCTAAATTTTTTCTTTAAGTGAGTGAGCATTACACCTTCATAGAATATCACCCGCTTTTGTTCCACAAACTCCCATGTCCTGTCCAGTCCAGCTGTCTGCTCCTGGTGCCTCAGAGTCATGGAAGCCTAGGACCCCAGATCCAGAGTTAAGAGCAGCATGCTTACGGGGAAACTCTTCTGGATCCTAAGCAGTTATACATATTTATTGTTCAGAAATATTAAAAACCATAACTTAGAAGGGAAGGAAGGGAGAGGAGCTGGGGGCAGCCACCAGTTTGATGGAAGGAATCCAGACAGGCTGTGGGACAGTCGAATTGAGCAGGGAGCCCCCACCCCAGCAAAACCACAGGGAGATGAAGATGGCCAGGGAGGGGGGCCTGGGACACTTCAAATTCCATGAGAGATGCATTCTGGAGTCACCTGTTAAAAGGCAGGTAGACCTCCAGGTGTTACATGAAGTCTGGCAGCTTTTCCAGCCGGGGGTGCTATGAGACCTTCCCTGGAGGAGCCAGCAGGAGGTCGGGGTGGGGGCTGGAAGCTTCTTAGCCACAGTGGAGACCAGCACAGAGCCCCTGTGAAATCTCAAAGCAGAACCCATTGCCCTGGCACCTGCTTCCCAGATTCTTCTCTCTCTCCTGGCATCAGAAGGGGACACAAAGCATCCTGTAGCATCATTTATATGTAAGAATGAATGTATTCAGGCATGTCATTTCCCTTTTTAATAGCCTTGTTTCTTTCCCACTTCAGTTCTTAGACTTGATCTCGTCCTCTGGGAGAAGAGACCCCAAGAGCGTGGAGCAGCCCATCCTGCTGAAGGAAGGGTAAGGCTGGCGAGCGCCACTGGGCAGGTGGAGAAAAATGCAGGTAGCGGTGCTCCCAGTCTGTCTCAGCCATGAAGTGGGGCATCTCTGCCCTTGGGGCCAGTGGTCTCCCAGGTCAGAGGCAGCCCAGATCCTTTCGGGCTGTTGAGGCCTGGAAGAAGTGAGGCCTTAGTCCACCACTCTCAAACTCCCCAAGACTGCACGCAGGGCATGTCTAAATGTGGTGTTGTTTACATTCATTTCTCTGTGCCTCTTCTCTGCTGAATTTACAGTGGAGAAATGCCCGTCCCTGCGAGGAAAGGGGAATGGGGTACTGAATGGCCCCTGATAGTCAGGCATTCATGCGCAGTTGGCTCATTCGCACCTGAGTTCAAGGCCTTGCCTTCCCCCCATCAGCCTCTCTCCTGAAGCTTTTGTCAGGAGACACTAAAGCAGACAGCAGGTGCTCCACATCGCTGCTCTTTGCTTTCCAGAGCACACCTGTGTGTCCGTGAGCCTGCTGCCAGCGCTTGCTCTTTAAGATCATCTTGTCAGTATTTTCAGTGTGGGAGGTGGGAGGGGTGGCTGCTCTGTTGGATGTCTAATAACCCACAGTCATCACCAGCTTGTAATTTAAAGTTAGCACCAGCACAGGGCTGAACTTCTCTAAAGTAGAGGCATGCCTTTTGATTTGTTAATCCCATCACTTGGAAATAAAATCAAAAGATACTGAAAATCCACAGTCTGCATTGGGTATCACAGATTCCAAAGTAGTGAGTTGTTTTGATTTTGCCGATGTGACTTTGGGCTGCAGGATGGGGAGGGCCGTGTGGGACGTTCACCCATCCACGTGTCCTGTTCCCAACAGGTTCATGATTAAGAGGGCACAAGGACGAAAACGCTTTGGGATGAAGAACTTTAAGAAAAGGTGGTTCCGTCTGACAAATCATGAGTTCACCTACCAGAAAAGCAAAGGTAACAAGAAAAATTTGCCTTTTCCTTCTTTTCATGTCTTTATTCTGAGGGACCAGAGCCTTGTTTAAGCCCCATTTGGGGTTACGGTCTGCTTTTCTGGAGTGAAACCAAGAGCAGAGAAGGTGTGTGCCTCAGAGTGAGCAGTTTCTGTAAACAGCAGAGCAGGGGAGACATCCACAGTGTGGCCTGGTGGGGAGTGGGAAGGGCCCCGACAGGAATCAGGGTCCCACAGGGAGGGCAGTGATGGTCTTGTCCTCTTTGCCTGTGTTCTTCTGGATCTGAAATGGTCAGATTTAGAGCGTGGAATATTGAGAAAGTAACTTCTCCCCATAAAAACGGAGGTACGTGGTTCCTACAGACAGTGTGACGAGAGGCTTTAGTGTCATGATGGATGTGGGTACTGGGTGTTCTTGCGAGGGAGAGCATGAGGCCTAGTTTTGTGGACACAAAGGACCCATTCCCAGGCCTTCTCTGACTATTGCCCCTCAGCCCCTCATGCCTGTGGCATGTCAGTTTCTTAGCCTTCTCACCTAAAGCGGGGAGACCCTAACCCTCCTCCTAACCCAGCACCTGCCTCTGGGCCTGCTGCTCATTAACCCCTCTGTGCTACAGGAGACCCGCCCCTCTACAGCATCCCCATCGAGAACATTCTGGCAGTGGAGAAGCTGGAGGAGGAGTCCTTCAAGATGAAGAACGTGAGTGCCCCATCTCCAGGCACTCTTCCCCGCCATCTCTCTCCTCTCCCGCTAGCACCCGCCTCCCCTGCCTCTGCTC